GGCTGTGAGGAGGAGGAGCACTGTGCTCCAGAGCTGTAGTGATCGTCTGTTAGGGAGAGTATTTTAACCACTGATTCATGGCCAAAACTGTGCTACGGAATACATTTGACCTACCTGTTACATTACATTGATGCATGAACATAGAAATAGGGCTTTTTTATTAAACCAGGTTAACATTTTTACACAGCTCGTGCCAGGTGAAAAAAGCATCTGCAGATCCGGATGAAACATCCAAGTATGTGGTTTGTACTTTTAATTTGTCCAGAATCACAGGCCTATAGCTGTATCTTTTATGATTGCATATTCAAGTTCTTCGGCTAGGCAACACAACGCATCATCTCTAGGAAACTTATCTGGGAGAAACGCTGAGTTTTTGTCAAATGTGCCTGCAGAATTTTTATAAAGATGTTTTTACTCAGAGAAAAGATCAGGCTTCAGAAGATAGCAGAGAACCGAAATCTGAACTTTGCTGTACTTTTAAGAATGTGAACATTACTATTAACCACACTTTTCTGTCATGTTTTTAAACCTAGAATTTTTCACTGTCAGTTTGAAACGTATGGATAAACCTTTTTTGCTACATGCATGTTCAGAGGAAAAGCATGTTATTGTTCTTTGGTTTTGCATCTGTGTTTTAGATAATTGTAAAACGTATGCTTTTTGATTGACAAAAGGGGGGGAGTTGTATGCAAATTTGTTGACAATATAAAATGGCAATTGTAATTCTCACTTTAACTAACTTTATCAATACAATTATAACAATTTTTCAAATTCAGTGATGTTTCTTTTTTCAGGCATGTCATTGCTCAGAGTGGAATTGCAGTCATAGATTGCTCATGGGCCAAATTAGAAGAAACTCCCTTTAATAGAATGAGAGGAAGTCATCTTCGGCTGCTGCCTTACTTGGTGGCTGCAAATCCTGTCAACTATGGTCGGCCATGCAAGCTGTCCTGCGTGGAAGCTTTTGCTGCAGCTTTTTGCATTGTTGGTAGGCTGTAATGTGGCTGATGTGAAATATGTTACCAGCAATTCTTACATCATTAATAAATCAGAAGATATTGTCTGTGATAGAATAGACTAATGCTGTCCCACTGGTCATCACTTTGTTGAGTTTGGAATCAGATTGTCTAGCTTTCTTCCAAGTACTTGTATCTGGTAGCATTGAGGTATCTGTGGGGCATTCATATCAGCTACTAAACAGGACACATAACTGATGATCCTGGTTTTGTTAGGATGGCACTTATACTATAAAAACTGTTAAAAAAGGCAGAGAATGTCAACAGAGTGTTATCCTTATGCACCTTTGTCTTGATGAGAGGTAACAGCTGTCTGTCTGTTTAATAGGATGGGTTCTGGTTAAGAACAAAAGAAATTGCCCCCTCTTGTTCTGTTTTACGAACTCATTACAGAACTTTGTTGACAATTGAAGAGACATGCTCTGCTATACTGCAGACAAATCTTATCTTCTGAAAATAATGTATGTACAACTGCTCTCATACTGAAGGACTGTGGGAACTAGAGCTTGAATCATTCATGACCTGTACAAAAATGTTTATATAACACTCACTAATAGACTATGAACTTTTCTTGGATTCAGTTAGATATTTCAAGTTAAACTGAAATTTGAAAAGATTTTTAATATTTTTAAAAGTCTGAATCCCTGAATACTGAAAAAATGCTTGCAAACATCTCCCTGTTGTAGTGATACATCAATATATGCTGAACTTAGAAACATGTAAGCTGAGTGAAATCTCACACTGAAAAAGAAAACTGATCATTTATTTTCTTTTTTAGGATTCCCAGACCTAGCCACCATTCTTCTAAGGAAATTTAAATGGGGTAAGGCATTTATTGACTTGAACAAAAATCTATTGGAAAAATACGCAACCTGTCATTGCCAGGAAGAAGTGCTGAGAGTTGAAAAGGACTTTTTAGCCAGTGTCCAAGAAACAAAAGACGAAGAAATAGGTAAGAAAAACCACAGACACACCCCACACCTCCTTTTCCTAACTAGTTTCCTTAAAACCTTTTCATTTAATCTCATGAAAATATTGGCAAGGTAGAAGATAAGAACTTTGTTAAGATGTGTTGTTCTGTCTTTATACTGTGTATTCTTCTTACAAGCAAGTTTGCCTATTTTTTTCAACTCAAAAAAGATGAAAACTACTAAAGCAATCTAATGCGTGTGTATATTCACAGCTGAACTGTGGAGCAGCTACCCTGATTAAATTAAGGATACTGGAGAACTAAGGAGTAAAAAGAAAACATGATGCTTCCTCATTTTATCTACAGATGTTAAAAGCAGAGCATGAGTAAAATGACTACTTAAATTCAGGAGGACTACAAGAGAAATATAGGCATACAGTCTGACAGCAAGTTAGTTATACGTAAACCTAAGACAGACCTTTAATGGACATGTTTATGTAGTCTCTAAACAAGATATTTAAAATCAGACCTGTAAAGACAACAAAAATAGCTTATAATAAGGACATCAGTTTACTCCCAAATTCTTCCAGTAACTTACTGATATGCCAATATTTCAGGCTATATTCACAGCTGAGTGCTTGGTCTCATTCAAGACAGCACAAAAAAGAGCCAAATCAAATGATCAAGAACCTATGAAGAGAGATGCTGCTAATCAGTGGCTTCCTTTCACAGTGGTTAAGACCCATAAAAATAGGCCAGGGGATCCCACTGTAAGGAGAAGGTAGACAGCCATTAGTTTCTCTGAACTTTGATCTCTGCCATGACATGCTAGGCTGGATGAAATCATCCTGTTTAGTGAACGCCTAACTACTGTTACATTAAACTGAAGACAGTTCTTAAGGGGCAACACTACTACGCCAAATAAAGCACACTTCCACCCACAGTCCTATTTTCTGGATAGACTGTAGTACCAAAGCCATCATGCCTTGTTTGACTTTTCTGAGGTAACAGTTCTCCCCAGCTGTGTAAGCCAAGTAAATCTAGCCCTAGCCTTATTCAGCAAGAGCTAAACCTGGACAGCTATACTGCGCTTCTCAGTAGACCTGAACTAACTAGATAGCCCTTTTAGAACTAAACCATTCTGAGAACATCCATGTTTTCTTACAAAAGCCTTAGAAACATATATGTAGGGTCTGTCTACCCCTAAAAAGCTACTGAACCCCTTGGGGCCAGGGGTGGGGGGAGGCACAAAGGGCATGGAAGAGAGTGAAAAGACTAGGAGGAGGGTGCAGGACTTGGCAGTTGTTATTTCTCACCTCCCCTGGTTTCTGACCAAACAACTATGGTAAACTTATCAGAAAGCTGAAGCAGGCTTCCTATGCTTTATCCTCCCTGCCAGTAAACTCTTAAAATGAAGAATGAAGGCAGAGCATTAAAATATGCCTTCTTCATCAATGTGTGCATTTTTTCCTTTTTCCAGATCCATTTGATGTTGACTCAGGAAAAGAATTTTCTAATCCCAACAGACCAATGAATTCCCCAGGGTAAGGAAATTTAAATACTATTTTTCCTTACGATAAGTTGTTTTGCTTTTATAACCCTGAAAAATGTTTCCAGACTAGTACAAAGTAATGAAGAATCTGAGGAAGACAGCATGAACACCCCAGGTGATGCCACTGAAAGCAGCCATGAGAGCAGTTCAGAAGATGATGGTAAAGTTGCTGCAACCACGGCCAATCAATCAACTATTTGAAATGTAAAAAAAACCCCACCACCAAAAAACCCAAAATCAACAAGCCAACTAGAACAAAAACCTGAACAAGCAAACAAGAAAACCTGCACATACCACAAGAACATTAAAAAAAACCCCAACAATCCCAGAGTTGTAACATCTCGTATAAGGAAATTTTTTTGTTAACAGTGTGGTTTGTTCACCTGTAACTTGGTGCTTAGCAAGTTCGCTTTCCTTTAGGTGAACTTCAGGCTATGTGGGTTTATAGGTCTATTTATGCACATAAAGGCTTTAGGTTATTGAATTTAATTGTTTGTGGAATGCTAATTACTATGTAAAGAGCCTGAAGCTTAGTTACAAGTTAAAAAAAAATGTGTTCTAATCAATGTGTCTGGAGAGTGGTTTATGGGGATTATTTTTACTTATTAGTACATTAAATAAACCCTCCTAACTTCTGGGCTGTATTTCAACTGGAAAACATGACTAAGTTACTGCCCTGTTCAGAGTGCCTACCATGTAAGGAGCCTCTGACTTTTTGCTGGGTTGAACCTGCCATATGTACTTCAACTGCATCATCTAGTTTTGGGTAAACTGACTACGTAAGCTTAAAAGGTGAAAATGCTTCCTGGAATTGTTTTAACACCTCAGTATGTCTTTTCAGTAACTTTACATGTTTTTGGTTTTGGATTTTTTTTTAATTATTTGCTCTGAGAGACAGTCCTAAGCAAGATACAATGTTTTGCCACTTTATATTCAGAACTGTATCATAAAATTTCAGGTAACAGGTTCAGCAATGCTATCTGCCTGCATTCCCATTACTTGAAGTGACACGCTACCAGTCAGAAATACACAGTCTGGCCCTTAAAGAGAGTCTCCTCAGCACTAGTTCACTTTTCCACATACCTAAGTTTGTATAGTGAAAGTGCAGCTGTTAGCAGTTGTTTTCTGTACATTTAAATAGAATGCTCTTTTGAGTTTCCAGCACCCAACTGGAACCTATTTAAAACTCAGCAACCCTTAAGATATTAAGGGATATCCCCTTATTTGAGATACTGAGGACAATTAATAGTGTTACCTTCATATATACAAGTTCTTCAAGTCACAGCAAGATTTTCACCTCCTAACCTCCTTCTACTAGAGAGACTGAACACTAGCCCTACTGGAGCTTGAGTTTGGAGTCACAGCAGCAGTTTTAGTGGTACAAATACTCCATTTCCCTTTAAAAAGAAAAAAAGCAGCCCAAGTAAATGAATTTGACAGGGAGTCTTTTCCTTTAAATCAGTTTCTCAATTCCTCACTTTCCCACCCCACACTTGAAGTCTTGCCCAAATCAGCTGTTGCAACAAGGATTTCTAGATGTTGACAAGGAATCAATCCTAGAGAATTTTTAAAGGACCAAGAATAACGTGAGGGTGTTAGCTATTCTAATTTGGGGGAATACTTTTATGTTCTAAAGCTATCTTAATCAAATGCTAACAAGCAGAACAGATCTGAGAACAGAGCTGTATCACACTTAGAATTACTTAAGTCTAGCAGTAGCCATTTTTTGATAACAAAAGCACTGAAGAAGCTACATCTCAGATGCATCAAACCTTTTCGCACTTCATTTGCTTTGCAGAATGATTTTGACTAAAAAAATACAATTAAAATAGCAGTGAAAGTTTAATAGAGGGCATATCAGCTTGACATACATGAAAATAACTTACATAATTTAACTGATTTCCTTTACAGAAGGAAACTCTAATTGCATAGAGCACGTCCTTTTCCTAAAACCTATATACATTGACATATGGAAGAAGGCACAGAAGTATTTCTGATAAACAAGTACCGTTTAAAATCCCCAGTTGCTGTAGGTCCCCTTGCATTCCTCGGACAGCTTTTGTTGTTCATATCTACCTAATGCTTGTGCTATTTTATGTTATCATGGTCACACCAGTGTGTTGATTCCATTATGCATAGTAAGCAATTGGTTTCTAGCCAGTCAGAATTCCATAAGCTGTTTAAGGAACTGATCAAAGCTGAATAGCTGCAAATACCACTCAGGGCCCAAAGAAGGGCCACATTCATGTTAGGGGTGGGGGCAGGGAAAAGAAATGAAGGCAACATCTAAACAAAAGGTAAGTGCAGCATCACAGGCCTTAAAAAAAGGACTTGCAGTGACTGGTGTTCAGAGCCATTTAAATGGCAGTCTTTTAATTATTTTAATGAAGATAAATGAAACAAAGCCCTTTATATAAACAGTTTATTTACTCTAAACAGCAACACAGACAGAACGCCATATAAACACAAAGGAAGTGATGCAGAATAAAGATGCTGGCTGACTTTGGATCTCAGAGGCTCTTAAGCAATAACAACCTAGTTTCTGAAAGATAGAAAAACAAATTCAGGGAGGGAAGGGGGTGGAGGGCATGATTTTTTTTTTCCATACAGCCAGCTAGAGGCTAAATATAGTTCTAACATTTTAAAGCATGCCTGCATCAGATAGCAAAGTAACTAGAGATGCTAGTGAATTTATAGAAGTATAAAAGTTTATAATTTTACAGCAGTTGAAATACTGACATCAATATTAAAATAAAAGCGAGTTTTACATAACAATCAAAAATACAAAAGACTGAAGGAAGAGACCCTGTATGAAAAAACTGGGGGCAATTCAGCAAATTTAGAACTGTATACAAGTGGCGAATACGGAAAATGGCACACATACAACCCCCTTCCCTATGTGGATATTAATTGTACATAGCAACATTAGATTTTGCAAAAGTTTTGTAAACAAGTTCTTGCCAAACCAATCCCTTCCTTTTTAAGATGCTGCATGATGGATACTTATGATGGTGCAAACTTCTTGGCTTGTGCTCGAACCCTCTTCTCATACTCCACTCTGTTTTGGCTGAATAGAAGAGAGAGAAAGGGTAATTACAGCTTCAGAAATCACAGGCCATATCATAGAGCTATCATTCTTCTGTGTTCAACATGAAACTGAGTCATTCCTGAAGGCAAAACCATTAGATAGGAATTTACTGAACACTACAATATATTAAAGGCTTTTCTAGAACGTTACTGTGATAATTTCCTTTGGGGGGAAGTAAGGTACTGTTTAGCTAGTTACTTCTCAAACTTCATTTGTTGTCAAATGAATTGTACTGTCTGACTTCATATCATACCAGTCTCTATAGCACCTGCTCTTTATCAAGGCCAGCCGTACCTTATGTGCAAGCATTCTTATTTATCTGAACATAAGTTTTCCACTCCCCATGTTAAGACCTGGAGTCATTAACAATAAATTCCAGTATTCCAACAGCACAAAGTGGTTGATGAGAGCAGTTTACTACCAGTTGGTGGACTTCATATGATTTTAAAGTATCATCTTTACTGCTTTGGGGAGACAGGCAAAGCACCCTTTAAGAAACGGGAAAACGATAACGGTATGGTAGTTTCAGCCTTTATCTCTGCAGACTGTGACTCATAGTGTTAGGTTTATCCTAAACTTCAGTTGAAAAAAGCTAGTTCAACAGTTTGAAAAAACATTGTAGTTCACTAAGTCTAGCGTACTTGCTACAGATTGATTAAACAAGCAAGTATTACTGCAATGAACTACGACCAATCATTAAGCCTCAGACTCAATATATAAAAGGGAGAGTTCTTCGTTTTCTATTCTTGGGCCAACAAGGGATTCGTGAAGCATCCATTTACATTCAACACCATATTTTGTTTTAACTGTCAGAAGTGTCAGTCAAGAGCTAACCAAAAATTTGTTACCATTACTCTTGTGCCAAAGGTAGTTTACAGCGACTAGATTTTGCAGGGCGCTTTGCAGTAAACTTAACTTACTTTCAGCTATGAAGGCTTGCTGCAGTAAAAAAAAAAAGGCAGCAAATTATATCCTCAGAAGTTGACAGTTTGGGAGGAAGAAGAAATGAAGCCAATTTTGGTCACATCCAATGAACGACTACCATCAAACACTGAAATACTCTAGTTCCTTCTCATAAAGAAATTTACAAACTTTATTCTGAAATTTTTCTTTAAGTTATATTGCATTGTCACATGAGAACATGACCTAGCTATTAAGTCTCACACCCTCAGAATCCACACAAAACAACGCCTGCCATAGTGGGTCCTGCATGCCTGCAGCAGAGGACGAAGTAGGTTAGCACATTAGGAGTGCTAAAGTTTCAGAGTGACGGTACCAAAGCAATCCTGAGAATGAGAACAAGTATTCTTATTTTGAATACAAAATTTGTTCTTGGAAGTTTAACAGCTTGACCAAAAGACATCTAATTAAACAACACTGTGTCTTGCCCAGTATTTATCAACTATGCCAAATTACAGACACATATTTAATCCTGCTGTGTTGAGCTTCTACCAGTTACTCATTAAGTAGTAAGAGACACAGGCTCTCAGACTGCAGAAATATAACTGCCCATTTGAAATATGCATGTCCAAAGGACATGGAGAGGATAACTGGGAGACTATATACATTTGAAGTAACAAAGAACATGTGTAACGGTTTATTGTCAATAGATTTTTTTTTTCTAGAAGCGCTTACAATAAAGCGGAAACAAGACTAGCAAAGACTGTTTTTATACATACATTTGTGTGGGAGATGATAAAAACCACACAGACTATTTATACATGTATAAAAGTGTGTTATTCCTGCCCCATATTCCTTCAGAGCAGCTTTTTTTTAAAAAAAAAGCAAGGGTGGGGAGGCCTGCGTCGTCATTACTGGCTCCCAAAGGTGCTGTCTATAACTGTGGCCACTTAACTGTCATAGAATCATAGAATGGTTAGGGCTGGAAGGGACCTTCAAAGGTCATCTAGTCCAACCCCCCTGCAAGGAACAGGGATATCTCCAACTAGATCAGGTTGCTCAGGGCCTTGTCCAACCTGGCCTTGAACGTCTCCAGGGATGGAGCATCCACCACCTCTCTGGGCAACCTGTTCCAGTGTTCTACAACTCTCATGGTAAAAAATTTTTTCCTAATATCCAACCTGAATCTACCTCCCTCTATTTTAAAACCATTACCCCTT